CTACCTTCCTGCTACCTAAACTGCTTCTCTTCTAGGAATAGCCTGCCAATGTCATATAGACTAGTCTACAGGCCTTGCTTCCATAAGTATCTGAAAGCCTCTTCATAATCCAACATAAAATGCTGCATTTCATCATATTTGCCTGGTGTAAACCATATTTCAAGAGTTGACTGATCACAAACTATGTAGTTTACCTCAATGAGACAGGTTCTGTCCACATTATACAATCAAAAGATATTCAAAGCTGGGAAACTACATTTGAGTTTTATATCAGATAATAATAGAAGTTGTATACCAAATAAAATATTGGGGTTATTTTATGTGTTTTCATAATTGTGCAATGTGATAGAAATGCTATTTAATAATCTTATCTTTCATGAAATTCAAACATGAACAATTTCATTTTTAAAGTTATTGTCTTACTTGGGTTGCATTTTTTTAATAAGTCATTATTATGTGACTAGCTTCAATTTCATTTTTAAAGTTATTGTCTTACTTAGGTTGCATTTTTTAATAAGTCATTATTATGTCACTAGCTTTGGTTGTTGATTTTGTAAGAAGCGATGCACAAAACCATAGCAAAAATAATCCACTTTCATGAGCAGGAAAAATCCTATAGCCTGAAAAGTCTTCTAATCAGAGAACTATAATTTCCTACACAAAACATTAACAGGATTCAAAATAATTCAGAGCATGTAAATGTAAAGGACCTAAAACTTTATTCAGCTTTGTATATTAGCTTAAGGGCCCTATGGAAAAACCCAAGTGATTAACTTTAATGAACTGTGGCATACTTTTCTCCAAAGTCACTAACAAAAGACCGTTAGCATATTTCCAATAATTTTCCAGAGACAGATCAAGGCATGCTTCCTTTAGGAATAGATCCACCAGTTAAGCAACCTCTTCTTCTTTACTCCCCACCACAGTGCCTGGACTCCAATGTGAGCTTGCATTATTGACTTTAAATGTATCTATCTAGCTTTCAAATTCCACAATACCTTCTTAATGTGGAATTTGAAAGCTAGATAGATGCATTTAAACTAATTGACTAAAGGATATAGAAACACAGTATATAGACGTAAATACCAGATATAGAGTGTGTGAAAGAAGAGGGTCTGAAGAAGGACACTTGGGGGGAGGGATAGGGAGGCAAAGCATTAATGGCACAAAGAGGTGTGCTATTACCTGTTGAAGATATTTCATAGTTTCATTAACTGTACTAGGGAGAAATGTTCACCTGTTGAAATATCCATTTTGTAAGACATAATAATAATGTGATTGAATGTATGGAAGAAAATTAAATGAACAAAATTAAAAAAAAAAATTGGGCAGTGTGGTCCAGAGTAATAAGTGTTTATTTAGTAACCATTATGCCCTATTGAAATTGTGACCTTTTCTAAGTATACACAAATACACACACATACACACACACTGATAGCAGTGCCTTGCTTAAAATGCAGGGGGACAACTAATTTAAACAACACTGGATACTTTCTTACCAATGTCCTTTATTTGTAACACAGTTTTAACTGGCCTTTGTGACCTCCTTATCTATTTCTAGATCTTTTGTGACCCTCTTCCTTTGCCAATTCCTTAAATAAGGTTTTCTCAGGGTGCCATACTAGGATCCTCATTTCATTTTTTATATGCTATCTGTATATAAAAGATTAGAAATATGTTGCATTGTTTAACTAAAATATATGGTCAATTTCAGTTTTTAAAAAGTGTAGTTAAGTCCATTTTTAGAATAGTATCTAAAGTTCAAAAAGGAGGGCAGGAATATTTTAATTTTCAAAAATTGTTCTCATTTGTGTTTTTTAAATGCATACTGTTTGAGAAACTATAGAATAAACTGAAATTAATAATGGGGATAGAGACTGTTAGAAATTTCCCAAGTAAAATAAGAACATTAGTGTGCCTATAGGAATAGAGGTAAACTAATTAAAGTCCTTTGGAGCCACAATGTTTCAGGGAAATTGGCACATACTGGTCACCATAAAGAATTTTAGTCAATGAAAGTGTCTGGTTAGGATAAGAGTGGTTTTAGCATCCATAATGTGTTGGAAATAAGCCATAATTAGGATACCGCTGCGATTTAAAGTCATACCCAGACCTATAGCTAAGCTAACTGACCTCCTCTCTCCAGTTATGGTCTCTCTGATCCTGTTGCTCTGTGTAATGGAAAGACAAGCATAGATTTACACACAAGACAATAAAAATTGTTCAGGGCCCAGCCACAGTGGCACAGCAGTAACGCAATGCTCTGCAATGTTGGAAGCCACATGGATAATCAGGGTTCTGTTTCAAGGTTGATTCATACATACTGGGTGCATATGTGTGCCTGTGATCCTGGCAGGCTGAAAGGCTGAGGATGGAATTGCAACATGAATCTCTGCTGAGGGCGCTTGTATATCTCTCTTTCTCAATCTCTTTTTGTCTCTTTTCTTTCTGTCTCCCTCTCTCTCTAGAAAGAAAGAATAGTTTTTTCAGAAAATATACACATTAAAATTTTGATTTCTATTCTTTGTTTTTGTTTTTGTTTTGAGAGTTTTTTGTCATAAGGCACATGCACTCACCAGAAAGACAGAGAGACAGAGACAGAAAGTGACAAATTATCCCCCAGGGGGGATGGCCACACTGTAATCCCTTCTCTTCCATTCTCCTCTCGGGATCTTGGGCACACATGCACAAGCACCTGGCATGAGTTTAAGCACTGGGTCTGGGACTTGAACCGTGGTCAATTACATGGGAGTCCAGTGACATAGACATTACATCAACTGCTGGTCCCTTGATTTCTACTCTTAAGCTGATTTTCTAGGTAGCTCACTAGTGTCATAGACCCTGGCTTACTGATTACAATTAACTTGGAAATTATGTTTTGTTATGAACAAGATCTTTGTCTTCATTTAACATTTTATTAAAGATAACTTTGGGAGAAAAGACAAATTTCCACCTGTATATATTTACTTTGGATGAAAGTAAAAATTTAAAACATTAATAATTTGATGTAGCTCCCCTGTTTGACTCTTACTTATCTTGCACACCCTACTTTTACAAGACATCCCTTAAAATACCTCCATAGTGTGTGTGTCTGTTTGTGTGTGTGTGTGTATGTGTATATACACTCACCTGGATGAACTAGCTTATAAAATACTGAGATCCATGTCCTTAAAATGCTAGAGCCCAGCTGGTATGAACATGTGTCAGACATCGGGAGCTTATTTTTGATTTTGAGGGATGAGAACAATTTGGAGTAATTGAAAAAAGGGGAAGGCAGAAGATGGCATGGTGGTTAAGGTGCTGGACTCCCACATGGCCAACCGCAATTCAAGTACCAGACCTGGTGATTTGCTTTCTTGTTTTCTCTCTCTCTGTCTCTCTCTGGTCAAATTAAAAAAAAAAGTGATAATGAATAAATAAAATTAAACAATTCCTTAAAAAATGAACAATACATTTCGTAGAAACATGTATGCAAAACAAGAAGCAGAATATTCCACTGGATAAGGAAATACTTCAGGAGATTTAAGAAAAAAATAATCATCTACCATTGTTTCATCAGGTTGAAGAGATCACAATACATCAATAGCTTTTTTGCTTTCCATTTTCTAAAAGATGCTTTAAAGCAGAGAAATTGGATAGATAATAAGTAGGAAAAAAAAAAGAAGAAAAGATATCTCTAATTCAAAGACTTTTCTTTATACCATTGACTTTTTATAGTGATAAGGATAATTTTAACTACTTAATATGAAGGTAGTAAGTCCTATGCTGCTTTGTCTTTCTAGAAGGATGAGCAAAAGAGAAGCTCAGCAGGGAGTGAAATGAATCACTCTCCAAGGTGTCAGATTTCTCACTCCCAACTGAGTTGGCAAAGGTTAGCATACTATTAAAATTCAAGTTTTTGCAAATGTATTTCATTGGTAGTCAACTCACTAAAAGTGTATCAGTTTTTAACAATTATTCCCTGTGATAGTCAAGTGCTTGCCAAAGAATTCTCTGACTCACACTGGAAAAGAATCCAATAACTAACTCTATGGTGAATAAAGCACAAGTTGCATAACGATGATAAGCTAAATGAGAGGGTTAAAGAAGATCATTTGTAACAAGCATTTCCATGGTAACTTTGAATACTAAAATAAATAAATAAATAAATAAATAACCAGAAACAACTGAAAAGCTCTTATTTCTGGCACTGATCTTAGACTTTATAAAAGGCGTAAGAATATCCCAGTAGATGTATCAGATAAAATAAAAATATTGTCAGTTGGAATTGTTATTTTTTCATGTTTGTACCCAATTGTTCATGTGGTTTGGGGAAAAGAAAGGATAAGCCATTCAACTGTCAGTATAGCATCATGCTTCCTGCTAATTTTGAAGACAGGTACACATGGGTTATGACATAGGGTTCATGACTTGTTTGCTCTGTTACCTGGAGGTTACATAACTTCTCCAAGCTTCCATGACCTCATTTCTAAATTGGTTTTAGCAATTACTGTTTCATAAGATTGTTACAGAAATTAAATTATACCACACTTTTAAATGTTTTGCACATGGTCACTGCCCAATAAAATGTATGTGAATAAGTGGGGGGGTGAACACAGATGACTGTTAGCTATACAATGCTGGTCAGAATTTACAAACTCGTAGTCAAAATTCACAAATTTGATGAAGAGGGGAGGGTAGGCACAATATTCATGACCAACATGTCTGAAAGCAAACCACACCTTATTTCTGAAAAAAAGAAAAAAGAAAAAGAAAACAAATACTAAAAAGAAGGAAGCAGAGTGTTCCTATAAACCAAAGTGATTAAAGCACAGTTAAGAACACATGAATGTGTGCAATTGTAATTATAACCTTGGTTAGTTAGTCATTTCATGAAAAGGCATACAGAAGAATGGGCAGGGTCTCTGACAGTGCATCACCCTTAGAAGAGAGGGTATATAAACATCACTGTGAATAGACAAGGACATCAGAGCCTCTTCCCACTTAACTCTACTGCAAACATGCCCTACACCTACTGCTCTGGAAACATCTCCTCCCGTGCCTTTGGGAGCTACCTGAAGTACCCAGGATTTTCCTGCGGCTCTTATCCCCGCAACCTGATCTACAGGACTGATCTCTGCTCTCCCAGCACTTGCCAGCTGGGCTCCACTCTCTACAGAGGCTGTCAGGAGACCTGCTGTAAGCCCACCTGCTGCGAGACGTCCTGCGTACTGTCCAGTCCCTGCCAGACATCCTGCTACCGCCCAAGGACACACAAGCTCTGCAATCCCTGCCAGACAACCTATGCTCGATCTCTTTCCTTTGGGTCCCGCAGCTGCTGCTCCCTGGGCTATGGATCAAGAAGCAGCTACTCCCTGGGCTGTGGACCCAATGGCTTCCAACCTCTGGGTTATGGAGTGTGTGGCTTCCCATCCGTGGGCTATGGATCCAGATTCTGCCGCCCAACCTATGTGGCTTCTGGGAGCTGCCAGTCCTCTTGTTACAGACCAGTCTATGGATCAAGCTTCTACCGGTCAACTTAAGGACGTCTGACCTTGACTTTACAATTATCCCCTTCAAAGTCAATCTCAGCAACCATCTGGGTAGTATTTATATTGTACTACCTTGGAGAGTGACAGAAAAAATAGTATTCATATTAAATTTATTTGTCTCATAGAATATGCATCCTTTTGTTTTCTTCCTTACCTGTCTAACTAAAAATGGAGGAACCAGGGATATTTTTTCTTCAAATGAATTCATTGAATCTGATATCAGATCAAAGATTTGCTCTGTTTTTTCTTTTCTTTCTTTTTTTTTTTTAGATACCTGTCGCAAATTCCAAATCTACCAATTTTTGTCTGAAAATAAAACAGTTAATTTGAAGAGTAGCAGTAAGTTTCCTAATAGGCATTCTGACAAATTTATACCACAAGAGTTCCTGCCAAGTAGGATCAGAAATTGGCAGATCACCCTTCATTTTTCTACTCATGTTTATTTTAGACTACATGGTTCTACTACTTATAGGTCTGGTCCAAAAAAAAAGTTCCCGTTATGGAAGTGCTACCTCAGGAAGGACTAGACTGGCTGTTTTTTTTGTTTTTGTTTTGTTTTTAAGAGAGATTTTTGCTATAGGCTGTTTAAACTTACAGACAGAAACAGAGAAATCACCCTTGAGGAGGATGGCCATGTTGCAATCCCTTCTCTATTCTCCTCTTAGGATTTTGGGCATGCACACACATACACACACACCCAGTGTGAGTTTAAGTCGCTGGGTCTGGGACTTGAACCATGGTGAGCTATGTGTGAGTCCAGCGACGTAAACATTATGCCATCTGTCGGTCTCTAGACTGGCTGTTTTTTGATGAGATGTTTTCAAAATATTTCATGTGAGCCTCCTTCCTAGACTTGCTCAAGCAGGGAATTCCAAGGTCATGATTTTAACTGATTATAGTATTTGACATAAATAAACCATTTAGATATGGATGAAATTTAACAAATATGCTGTCTATTATAATAAAAGAGTATAATTTATATGAGTTTATTTCTTATTTTGGTGTTTAATTCTCTCCTGTTTGGTCATTTTAAGGCTGTTTGCTTTTTTTTTTTAAGTGATTTTTGCCTTAAGGCACATGTGTTTGCCAGAGAGAGAGGGGAGAGAGAGAGAGACAGAGGAAAAGTGAGAAATCACCCTCAGGAAATCACCCCCAGGGGGATTTCCATGTTGCAATCCCTTCTCCTCCATTCTCCTCCAGGGGACTTGGGCACGTATGCATACATGTCCCGCATGAGTTCCCCATCACCCAATCTGAGACTCAAACTGTGGCCAGACATGTGGGAGTCCAGTGACATCGTCACTACAACGTCTGCTGGCCACAAGGCTGTCTGTTTTCACAGTAGGCATCACCTGAGAACTACTTAAAACATGGCAGTATCATTCATGAGTCATCTGGACTAAGAGGGAGTACTTTACTTGTTAATATTCTGGGCTTGGATTGGATGTAAGAACTAGTAGTCCATGACATTGTCTTATTGAGTAGAGTAAAGTCATTTTTGGTTTTAATAAGTGGAAATGAAATAAATATAAATGAATGTAAGTAACTGTCGATCATTGCCCTCACAGTTGCTTTTCTGCCCTCTCTTCTCCCTACAATAATTGGATTTTTGTGTATACTTCCTCTTCTACACATAGTCAATTGTTAATGAACATGACCATGCCCTAGGTTTCAGAGTTGAATCTGATTAATCTACAGCTCTTTGATCCCTGTTGAAAGTAAAGGATTCAGGAAGGAGTGTGCAATCTGACTTTGACCAGGAGAAACAAGGAGTGGTGTGAAGAAACACATCTGGCAAAGTTCTTACGGAGTTTCTTGAAGCAAACCCCTCTGCCTCCGGACTTTTCATATGAGGAATACTGCCTCCTGCTTGCATATGGCCTGAAATTATATCCTCACATACAAAAAGAAAACACCAGGAGAAACACTGAAAAACAGAACCTAGATTATTTTACTTCTGGACTTTGCTTCAGTAATGATTCATATTGGTCAAGCCGTTTTGGAATATAGTTTCTTTTACTTGTAGCAAATGCTTTTTAAAAGGAGACACTCATTTAAAATCTCAAACAATTCCCCTTCCCAGTGAAGGCCTCCTAATATATCTTAATGACCATTAATAGCTTAACTCTGCCCTCTTTCCAGTCCCTCTTCCCACCACTCTCCCACACTTTATCAACACACACTCCATCAATGTGACCTAATCACATTTCTCTGAACACATTGTGCAGAGCTGAGCTTATAAATATTCTAGGATATCTGGAAGAAATATTACATCTCTCTAATCGTTGTTCAAAGCCTATGGGAATTTTATCTTCTAGTTCACCTTTTTAAGTAAACTCTACAATCAATGAAGTTGATGATTCTATTCATAATACTAGCATATATAATTCAAAAATTGCAAAGTCATTATTTTTAATATTTAATTGAAAATATTAGTATTTTTAATCAATACTGGTTATTTTGTCACTTGTATATTCACCTATTTTGTGAATTCAATAGACAAAACAGAATCATAATTAAGAGAATCTTGCAAGTAATGAATACATAATAAAGTTAGTTGGATAAATAAAAAAATGAAAAGAGATGAGAGATGCTTACCAGAATATAGTATATCATTAACAACAAATATGCATTCATTTTTGCTAGTTAAATTCCTTTTAGATAGGTTAGTTTCATCAGTCTTCTTGTAATCATCATTATTAAAATTGATTAGCACGATTTTTTTTTCTTTCACAAAGATTATTGCTATAAGGTGTATGAGCTTGCCAGAGAGACAGAGACTTGAACCACAGTCAATTTTGTGGAAGTTGAGCGACGTAACCATTTTGCCCACCTGTAAGGTCTTGGACTCCCACTTGCCTGACCATGGTTTGAATCTTGAACTTGGTGACTTTCTCACTTTCCCTCTCTCTCTATGTCTCTCTTTAGTCAAATTAAAACTAGTGAATAAATAAGTAAATTAATTAAATTAAAAATTCTAAATAAAATGGAATAAGATAATTGAAAAACAAATTCACATTTCTGAATTTCACATTTCTGAATTTCACAAAAATAGAAAAATAACTTCACTCAAAACAAATCTTAGGGGCAGGCAAGAGTAAGTCCTTCTGGGGAAAGGAACAAAAAGAAGTATATATTATTATAATAAACCATGACACATCCAAGATATAATGGAAGAAACAACTTGAAACTATGGACTGTAGTGCTCAAATGATCCATGGTTCATTCTTTCTCCTATTTATTCATCATTAAAAGGAGCAGGGATACTATGTAGCACTCTAACTCCTTCTCTCTCTCTCTCTCTCTCTCTCT